TATGCCCAGATTGCGTCCCCGAAGCTGCCACTGGAGACTTTAGGTACAGAATGCAAAAGCAAGGTGTAGTCTAAGTTTATAAGCCTCAGAGGCAGGGAGGCTCTTCCAAATCTCTCACACGCAGCAGGGAGGTTGGAAGGAGCGCTCCCTTTCTTTGTGAGGCTAGTTCTTAAAGGCACAGACCATATAATTCATTTCAACCTGCCTCCCTTTTTTAGTCTTTTGGTCGAATATCCTGACTCTGTGTTTTCCAAAGTCCCTGTAACAGATACAGCCAGCTGGGAAAAAGGGGTCTAAGTTCTTATCTACATTTAGGAATCCTGGTTTAAGCTTCTCTTTGTCTGTAGGGGATAGAGTGGGGTTTTTTTACTGAGGTATCACAATCAGGGGTTGAGGAATCCAGCATTTACCTTGACAATAGGTACCAGTCATATGTTAATGGGAGGGCCAAAAGTTTCTCTAGCTAGAGATAAGAATGACTGCTTTAGCCGGGCATTGGTTGCACACGCCTTTAATCCCAGCACTCAGGAGGCAGAGCCAGGCGGATCTCTGTGAGTTTGAGGCCAGCTTGGTCTATAGAGTGAGTTCCAGGACAGGCACCAAAGCTACACAGAGAAACCCTGTCTCAAAAACAAAAACAAAACAAAACAAAACAAAACAAAAAAACAAAAATAAAAAACAAAACAAACAAAAAAAAGGAATGACTATGGTGGTATTGTGTTCCCCAAAATATTGTGCGCCGTCATAAACTTGTCTGGGGTCAGAGACAGAACAGCCACTAGATACAAAAGCTAGAAAATGGTGGCACTCACACCTTTAATCCTAGCACTCCAGAAGTAGAAATCCCTCTGGATCTCTGTGAGTTCAAGGCCAGGCATGGTGACTTTAATCCCAGAAAGCGAGCCTTTAATCCCAGGGAGTGGTGGTAGAAAGCAGAAAGGTATATAAGGCGTGAGGACCAGAAACTAGAAGCATTTGGCTGGTTAAGCTTTCAGGCTTCTAGCAGCATAGTTCAGCTGAGAGCCATTGGGATGAGGACACAGAGACCTACAGTCTGAGGAAACAAGACCAGCTGAGGATCTGGTGAGGTGAGGTAGCTGTGGCTTGTTCTGTCTCTCTGACCATCCAGCATTTCACCCCAATAACTGGCCCCGGGTTTGATTTTATTAATAAGACCTTCTAAGATTCCTGCTACAAATGACTGTTTTATCAAGCAGGAACTTGAGGAACTTTCCTCGAGCCCCCAAGGGAATGGAGACCTTATCCAAATGCCTGACCTTGGGAAAAGGATTTCTTCTGGGTAGCAGATACTATACTACAATTTCTTAGTCTTACTGTTCCCCTCATAATGCTCCCAAAAGGGAAGGTCCTGATTTCTCTTTTCCCATTTTACCTTAGGATTCTGATTTCTCTACACTTATTAACTGAACTCTTGACCTTAACAGCCTCAGGTTCTGGATCTGAATTGTAGATATTTCATCCTTGGGATTGGGTGTGTCTAGTAAGTCTCTAACTTTCCTGTTGGAGGGCACAATGAAAATCCTGGTTCAGAGGTGGCTGGAATTGGTTTTTTCAAAGGAATTATTTTGTTTAGAGAGGTTACCATTGTACACATTTTTGTCCTTTACTAAGGCCCCCACAAAATTTCCCATCGGGAAAGGCATTAATATTGAGACTCATTAAAAATGAAAGTAAAAAAGGTGCTGGAGAAGTGTGTGTTCTATGTAGAGGGCCCCAAAACTGCTTGATCACACAGCTGCCATGACAGGCAACACCTAGACACAGGAAAAGCCATGAGCTGACCCCACCCAGGGAGGGCCTGCATCTATGGAGGAGCACCTGACATCCCAAACATTGCAACCATTAGATAAAGTGGCCAGATGCCCTTGAGTCTAGCAACACCTATTTTTGTTTTACAGATTGAAAGGATGAACGGCGCTGGTGGTGTTACTGGTTGCCGGCAGAAAAGTCATGAGCCACGGCCATGACTACCAGAGCTACAGAGAGCTTTATTAGAAGGAAGGAGGGGAGAGGAGAGAGGAGAGCCAGGTCTGGAGAGAGAGAGATGACGGGAGCAGAGCAGGGAACAGAGAGAGAGGGTGGGGTCCATGTCTAGCTTTTTAAGGTGTGATCACGCTGTTTGCGGTTTACGTAGTCGCCAGTGCCCCCTGAGGACGCACGATGCAAGACACCTAGCTGCCCTGTGCAGGATCCAAACACAGATACCCCTAGACAATTGTCAGCCAATCAGGGTCCTGAACCCTGGAAATCCCCTCACCTCAAACTCTGCTATGATAAAAACTCTACCCCGCCTGAGCTCAGGGCTCTCTGCTCTCACCGCTGCAGTGGACAGACAGAGAGACCAAGCCCCAGAGCTTGAAAATGAAGGCTCTGATGGTTATGATAAATGGCACTGGTGGCGGCACTGGTTACAGGTGGAAAAGTCACAGGCCATGGCCACGACAACCAGAGTTACAAAGAGAGTTATTAGAAATAAGGGGATAGGAGGGAGGAGAGCCAGGCCTGGACAGAATGGAAGATGGCGGGACCAAGCAGCGGGTACGTAGTCGCCAGCGCCTGCTGATGACATAAGATGCCAGACCCTGAGGAATGAGAGCAGAATCTTAACAGGTTCTTTGCTTTACATACAGGATTCAGTCTCCATGGTGGTCTTTTGGGGATCCCCAAGATCTGGGCATAACAGTCTGCAGTGTTGAAATGTTGGAACCAAGCAATGAGTGCCATGTGGTCCATGCCATCTAATGTTAGCCATGGTCCCACCATTTTAAAAAGTTCTTCCACTTTGGCTAAATGGAGACAAGTTCCCCAGAACTACAGTAATTAGCATCCCAGAAATGAAGTGTAAGTTCTTGCCACTGCCTCCCTGCAGATCCCTGAAAATGGCTGCTCAAAAGAGATGTTGCTGATCACCTGACATCCTTTTACTCAATACTCATCAGTCATTCTTTGGTCAGTCCTAACAACAGCCAATCGAGGTCCAAAAAGAAAACTTTTCAACTTCCTTTCCTGCCCCTTCCTTTTCTTTCCTATAATTACGCCAGACTGTAAATAGATGGAAGGCTCTACTTCCCTGGACCCCCCTCAGCAGGTTTTCTCACTAAAATAAAGACCTTGCATTGTCTTAAGTTCTTCATTCCCTGTCTCTTTCCTTCTCAATGCCATTTCACCTACCACTGCATAAAATCACTTGGGTTAGGCTGACCTTTAATCTGAGCACTAGGGAGGCAGAGCCAGGTGGACCTCTCTGAGTTCGAGGCCAGCCTGGTCTACAGAGTGAGTTCCAGGACAGGCACCAAAGCTTGAGAGAAACCCTGTCTTGAGAAAGAAAAAAAGAGGCAGAAGCAGGTGAATCTTTGTGAGTTCCAGGCTAGCCTGGGGTACACATGAATTTCAGGCCAGCCAGGGCTATTTCGTGAGACCCCATCTCAAAAACCAACTAGCCTACCAACCAACCACCCACTCAAACTAGAAAGCTGCTGACACATGAGATAAACCAAGGCTGGAGTTAGCAGAGACGACTCAGGCCTATAAACCCAGCACCTGAAAAACTGAGATAATAGGATTACAGAGTTAGTGTTTGAGGTCAACCTGGGCAAGAGTAAGACGCTGTCTCAAAACGCCAGGGAAATGGCTTATCAGGCAAAGACACTTGCTTTAGCATCTGACTTCACATAAGGGCCATGGCACTAGTGCCCCTTGCACCCACAAAATAAATGTTTGAAAAAAAAAAGAAAGAAAGAGACTGCAGAATGGACTGAGCATAAACCTTGACAATAGGCAGAGTGAAGGGACAGTCAGAGAAAGTATGGAGGTGACTTGCCCATGGGTGCAAGGCATGTGAAGAGCGCTAAGTTGTTATGGCCTGAAGACTCCATGGAGCTAAGATATGGAAACTGAGGCAGTATACTGTTTATAAACACAAAGGTCTGTATGATTGCTTTTTATCTGTAAAATAAAATCAGTAGTGGGGTGAAGGGCGCTCAGTTGATCCGAGTTGACCCCCTCGCCCCAGATGAACAGGAAAACCAAAAAAATTCGCACGACTCTTTTTTAAAAATCAAATTAAGTCGTTCTGGGTATGGTGGTGCACGGCTTTAATTTCAGCACTCAGGAGGCAGAGGCAGGTGTGACTCTATGAGTACGAGGCCAGCCTGGTCAACACAGAGTTTCTGGCCAAGCAGTGCTACATAGTGGGACCCTATTTCAAAAAAAAAAAAAACCCAAAAACTAAAACAAAAAAAAAATCCCAAAAATTAAATCAAAAGTTAGTTTAGATGGGTCTTCACCTTGTCTCTGGACACCTCGCGCGTTTGAGACAAGACGTCACTCTAAACATCTGTCTCTAAGGCAACGGAAAGCGTCCTGGGAGCCCGTACTGCGCAGGAGACCAATGCCACTAGGGCTCAGCCCAGACGCACTTCCGGGCAAGACTGCGCGTCTCGTCTCCTCAATGCCCACTCTTTCCGACCTCGTTCTCTCCCAGAATGTGTCCCTATTTGCCGGGACACGGGCATTTCCAATTTCTTCTTTAGACAAGCAGAGCGCCCGCCAGCCGTAGACACCGCGGCTGTCAGTCCGATTGCTGCCTGACCAGGCGCCTACACAACGCGGTCTCTTGGCCTCTTGGGAGCTATAAGCCCCGCCTCCTAGCCCGAAGTATTTGCGTCACGCGCAGGGCCTCCTGGGAGTTGTCTGCCCCGCCCCCGGGCCGGACGCCGCAAACTACAGCTCCCGACAGTCTGTGCTGCGGCCAGGGACCGGAGTCGGGGGGCCCTAGTGGGGCAGCCGGGTGGGCTGGCGCGGGAGAGGCGGCCTTGCCAGGCGCCGTTGAGAGGCGGAGGACAGCGGGGTGCAGCTGGCGCCTGGGTGGCCAGCCGACGATCTGCTGCCAGCGTCTGCGGTGCTCAGGGCCCGGTGTTCTAGGGCCCGGGCGCGGAAACTCCGGGCAAGTGGGGGGCCGGGTCGGGCGTCCTCCCAGCGCTGGGGGCGGTGGCACTGGGCCGAGGGGTCCGACAGCTTGACCGGGCTGTAGGTTGGGCGGGCGTCCCCGGCCCTTGCGTGCAGCAGGCTTTAGGTTCTTCGCCCTGGACACAGCTCGTGCCCGGTGCGCGTTCTCGGTGCGTGTGGGTGATGCAGCGGGTCCCAGCCGCCCGACCCCTGGGAGCCTTTAAAGCCTTCTCGTTTACTAACTGTGCATACCCCTGGCCACAGGGTTGGATCTCCCGGGCCTCTAACGGAAGGTCAGCCCAGCGGAGGCCAGTCCCAAATCTCCAAGCATCAGGGCTCCTGCCCGGTTCTCAAGGCGGGTGGGGGACACTGGACCTCCATACAGGTGAGCTCTTGACAGTTTGGGTTTGGTTCGTTCCCCTTGCGGATGCCGTCTGATGTTATGTCAAAGCTTGTGTTTGTGTCTAAATGTGCTTGAGTGGACTGGGCAGTGAGAAATGTCCTTCCTGCCTCCTCTGGGTTCAGACCAATGAGAAAAGCAGAGGTGCCAGGAAGGCTCCTGATGAGCCAGCAGGCTTGGGGACACAGCAAGGTTGGCCCCTTCTAGGTCCCCTGTCTTCACATTCCACTCTGGCCTGTTGCTTCTGATGCAACAAGTATCTGAATGTCATTCCCCCACCAAGGTCAGCCCTAGGCAGTGTGGTGAACTCCTAGCTGCAGTGTACCTGGAGCTCTCCAGCTAGATGACCAAGATTAGCAGCCATGATACCCCAAACCTTAATGGATGTGCTCCATCGGATGTCTTGATGCAGGGCAGATCGGGGTTTCCTGGCCTCTGTGGCTTAGGTTGGCATTCTTTGTTTGATTCTACTGGCACCTAGGATGTCCACCTGCCTCGTAGGAGCCTCTGATGCACCAGTTTTTGCCACACATTTTCAACTCAGCAGTGTCTCAGGCACCACCAGAGATGTAGGGAGATAAGCTTGAGTCCTAAGTGCTCTGTGTCATATAACTGTTCGTCTGAATAAAGGCAATTTGCTAGCTTTCACAATTAACATGATTTAATTTTTATGGCTGTATGGGACTTCCCAATAAAATATTCTCATAATAAGGGACAGCATCCCCCCCCCCCAATTCTGATACCTCTGACCTATTGAGGGATCTTTAATTCTGTCTGGGTGTGGTGTCCCGTACATGCTTTTTTTTTTAAAGTCAGTTTTTTTTTTTTAATTTTATGTGCATTGGTGTTTTGCCTGCATGTATGTCTGTGTGAGGGTGTCGGATCCCCTGGAACTGGAGTTACAGACAGTTGTGAGCTGCCATGTGGGTGCTGGGGATTGAACCTGAGTCCTGGAAGAGCAGCCAGTGCTCTTAAATGCTGAGCCATCTCTCCAGCCCTCAGTATATACTTTTAATCTCAGCACTTGAAAGGAATTCCAGGCCAATCTGGACTACATAGTAAGTTCCAGGCCAGCCAGAGATTAAAAAAAAAAAAAAGAAAGTTTGTTCCTTATAGGAAGGAATACTAGAAATAACAGCAGCCCCAATGACCACTGTCAGGTCATGGTAGTAAATACTGTGTGTAAAACTGCCCCTAAAATGGTCTTTCCCCAGCCTGGATTCCTGCCTACCACCTTGGTTTGCTGTGTTCTGTGTTGGCAATGGCTGCTAGTTTTCCACAGGAAGTTTTGGTGGCTGAGAAAATTTGTGGCCCAGGAAGTAGCAACTAAATGCTTGGGATGCTGACTAGAGGCTTCTGTGTGCTCTAAGGTGAGTTCTGCTTCTCTTAAAGCATATTTGTCAACCAAGTCCTCATACTCAGATATCCCCCATTATAAATGTAAATATCTATAGCAACAGCTCCAGGAGTGCTTGGACACATGCCAGGGACATGACTGTCTGATGGCATAGGAAAAAGTCAGTTAACTCTGAAGGTAAATTTCCTACTGAGATGGTGGTACCCAAAACACATTGTGGTTTCCTGAAGAATGATGTATGACATTCAAGTTTGAAAGTAAGAACTTTCTTTTTTTGTTTGTACACTTGAGCTTTAGTGGTTGCAGTTCTTAGACTGTTCTGGAGCTCTTCTAGGCTGAGCTCCAGGACAGTGCTTTCAGACCCTAGGCCCTCTCCCTACACCCAGGGCCTCTTTGGTAGTTTGGCAGGTTTCAGCACACTGGGGCACACAGTACTGCACTCTATCAAGACTCTTGTCAGTTAGGGCAGGAGATGGAAGGAGGGAGGAGAGGCCTCCTACTCAGTGGGAAAGGCTGGCTTATGGTAGTTGTTGAGAGGTTGTGGCAGGTGTGTTAGTCAGGGTTCTCAAGAGGAACACACACACACACACACACACACACACACACACACACACACACAAAGAGCAACACAACTGATAGAATGAAAAAAAATTTATGTATATGGAATTTATTAGTGTAGCTTGCAGGCTGTGATCTAACTAGTCCAACAACGATTTTCTGATAGGAAGTCTGAGAATCCAGTAGCTGTTCTGTCACTGAGGCTAGATATCTCAGGTGTTCAGTACATACTGGAATCAAGAAGTAGGCTCTGATACCAGTAAATTGATACCGAGGGTAGGCAGGGAAGAGCAAACACAGAAGGTGTGGTCCTTATAAAGGTGGATCTTGCCAGCTCAGAAGATCCAGATTAAAAGTGGGTCTTTTTTTTTTTTTTTTTTTTGGTGTTTTTCAAGACACAGTTTCTCTGTGTAGTTTTGGAGCCTGTCCTGGATCTCGCTCTGTAGATCAGGCTGTCTCTCTCTCCAAGCACCCTGGGCATATACTCACCTGAGGTTTGCAGAATGGCTAGCCTGAGCACAGGTACTGTTCAGGCATGTAGGCCACTTCTTGGGCTTTTCCAGAGGCTTGGCACAGTAGATACATCATTCTCTGGCTTGGTGCTGCACCCAGTAAGCTAGAGGCCAGCTTCCCTCTTGACTCTGCCCTGGGCCTTGTAGTGCTTTATCATTGGCCCAGTAAGCTCAAGGGATAAGACCTTTGTCAGAAAATTCAATTCTGACATGGCCTCATGCCCCCTAGCTCTCTGTTGATCATGAAGTACACAGGCCCCTTCACTGTGGTCAGGGTCCTGTGCCATCCAAAGAGGAAGGCCCCTTAGATAGGTGGAGACAAGAGCTGAGTCCAAAATGGAGATCATCTCCCCTCGGTCTGCCTAGATCTCATCTCTGTCCTCTTCTTCTGTTCTGTTACCCATTCACCCCTCCACATACACTTGGTGAACTTTTCTGTTCTCTGATATCGGTATCACAGGCCAAGGAATGGGATGGTAATGGTAGGTGGATAGAGATCAGGCAGAGAGGCCTGGAGGGAGAGGAGAGGGAAAGCCATTGGGCCTTCTAATAATGTCATAGAATGCTATATCCAGCTGTTTTTGAGGCCCAGGAACCCTGTCTCCTGTCTGGTTGTGCAATAACTATGTTCTCGGGGTCATTGCCAGAGGCCCAGCTCAGGTAAGGAGACTCAGGTCAGATAATGCCATGAAAGATGGAGGGAGAGTGCAGCCTCCAAAGTAGAGGAGAGACCTTACGACCTCCAGGGCACAGGTGGTGGGGCAGGGTGGACACAGGCGTCCAGGTGCCACTGTCGGGTGCTTCTCCGTGTTCACACACCTCAGTGTTGTGACTGTGAAGGACATTGTGTATTGAATCTCTTGCCTTTGCTCCTACAGTGTTGCTCCTCAGGGCAGCCTTAGGCGCTGAGGTGCTGGTTCTGGGCAGAAAACCCTCTCCGTCTGACCTGGTTGTGTTCTGACTTTGCTGAGCTGCTGACTGGGAACAGCTCTTGAGACTGGAAGTTTTTTTTTAAAACTTAAGACCAGGGCTGAGAAGATCTTTGCTTAACTAAGCATGATGGTCATGTAAATGTTGGTCAGTGCAGGCCACTGACAGGCTGAAGTGCCTGGTAGCATTCTTTCTACTCCATGTGGAGTCATTGGTTGAGGCCTGGTCCTGGTGCTTTTAGGCCTTGTTGGGTACCCTCCACCTGAGCTCTATGCCCTCTGCCCATTCTTCTGAAAGAAGGGCCATGCATGGGCTCTGCTTATTGTCGTGTTTGAAGTCCTCCCTGCTCCATGTCTTGTAAAAGGCCCAGCATCAAGTGGTTAGTAGAGCCATCAGCCTGTAGATAAGCAGTGGCTGAGAGGCTGGTCTCACAAACAGAGTCATGCCACACAGCTCTAGAGTGACCACAGGATCTATTTCTCTTTCTTCTCCTTCTCCTCCTCCCCCTTCTTCTTTTTCTTCTTCTTTACCTCCTCCTCCTCTTCCTCCCTCCTCGTCCTCCCTATCTCACCCCCCTCCTCCTCCTTCATTTTATAGTGCCCTGAGTCCAGCTCCTGCTGCTAATATGCATATGGACCTCTGGCCCCGACTAGAGCATGGGCAGTGCACCAGTCACCACATCCCCAAAGAAAACTTACTCTCACTGGAACACCCATGAGCTGTCGTGTTAATAGCTCTTCTGATAGGGTGAGGCCGTTGGAGGCCCTCTCATCCATGGTGGAGCTGTTACTGTAGAGGAGCAGAGCCAGCTGCCATGACTAGCTGCCCACAAGACCCTCCCCTTGTCTGGGGCTCATTAGCACCAAAGAGTTTTGGACATTCTCAATATGAGGTTCCTTTGTGGGTTGTCCCCCCTCTGTGGAAAGAGGAAGAAGGTTGGATGGATTTACCCTGGCATTATGCCCTGGTGCCATATCTTAGCAGGTACTCTAGAGTCCATGGAGAGGAATGAGCTAAAGAGGATAGACAAGGTCCCTGGGCAGATGAGGGGGATCCTCTGAAAAGACAGAGCCCAGCTGTTTGGGAAGGCTCTTCATAGTCTCTGAGCCAGGTGAATGTGCCCATCTGCTTTTGCTGTGGTCCTAGCAGTCCTGGGCCTGTGTATAGGAATAAGAATTGCAAAAGGGACTTGAGAGGTCATGCAAGATTAGCAATAATGCCTGTTCTTTTAGAAGATCTCTAGGTTCAATCCCTAGCATCTACATGATGTCTTACAGTAACTCTAATCCCATGGGATCTTGCACCCTCTTTTGGTCTCTCCTGGCACTTCACACATGTGGTATACAGATATATGCAGGCATAACACTCACACACATGAAATAAAAAAATTTTTTTTTTTTTGTTTTTTTCGAGACAGGGTTTCTCTGTGTAGCTTTGGTACCTGTCCTAGAACTCACTTGGTAGCCCAGGCTGGCCTCGAACTCACAGAGATCTGCCTGGCTCTGCCTCCTGAGTGCTGGGATTAAAGGTGTGCGCCACCACCGCCCGGCTGAAATAATAAAATTTTTAAAAAACTGCACGATGCTGTGCTGGCCAGGAGGCCTGTACCCCTGAGAATATGGTGTGATGTAGATCTAGAGTCAGTGTGTGGTAGTCCCTGTATTCAACATAGGCTTCTGAGTGGTGCTGGATTTTTACTGTGCTTGGCTCTGGGACAGTCTGTGGTGCTCAGGCCATTACCATTAGCTGCAGACACCCAGCCTTCAGCCAGTGTATGTGGCTAGGCAGGGCTACTGGTCTTTCTTACTGTCCACCCGTGGCTTCCTGGTGGATAGTGGGGAATGTTTCCTGAACTAGGCAAGCCAGGAGGCTCTCAGTCTTAGGGCAAGGACAGGGATCCTGGAAGAGGGTCCAGGCAGAAGGCTGGTGTGTGCTGTATTCCTATTGCTCACTTAACCCTGATCTGACCTCTGCCTCATGGCTGAGTAGGGCCATTGGGCCCCAGCTAAAGTTGGCAGGACCCTGTAATGTTTACAGCTGCCCCAAAATAATCTTCAGCTGCACCCAAACCAGGTGTGGGCTGACCTTTCAGCCTCTTGTGAAACCTGAGTATGTGTCCTGGAACAGGACTGCTGGTTCATTGTAAGCAGTCCCTTCTTCCCAGCTGCAGGGCATGGTTCTTAAATGGTGAAGTAGAAGTACTTGTCACAGCACAGGAGCCCCTGTCAGATTTCGTCTCTCAAATCCATTTGTGTGCCTGGTGACGGCTGAGGCAGGAGTCTGGGAAAGTACGTGTTAAGACTTTAATGTTAGTATGATACAGAGCATTCAGGCCACATAAGCAACCTAAAGCTTGGCATGGCTAGCACTATGATGCCCTGAATTTGCCTGCCCATTTTTTAAACTTCTGTTGGTAGAGTCACTGTAGTTGGCACTTTGACCTTCCATGTCTATCAGCTTTGTCCGCTGTCCCAAATAGCAAGGTGGGTTATAGTTTATATTCTCTTGGGCACTGAACACTGCAGGGCCCAGTCCACCATGAAAAACATGGGCAGGTGCTTCTGTGATTGCATCGCCTCTGTGGCTGGACCACGCTTCTCCAGAGAAGGTCCCTAAAGTGTTGTATGACTGCTGCACTGTCCTTTGAAATGTGGAACAGAGGATCTTGTCCTGCCTGTGATCAGTGTTCTGGTAACAAAACATTCTATGCATAGTAGGTGTCCTGGAGTGTGTGTCTCAGTGTCTTGCCCATTTTCAGTTTGTCTGGCATTTTCATATACGAGTGGTAGTACTCTATGGATTGTATACATTGTGAGCATCTTCTCTCATGGTTGCCTGTCCGGTTGCTTTATGGTATCTGGTTGAACAACAGTTCTTTAATTCAGTCCCACATGTCACCATGCTGCACAGAAAAACATTCCTTGCTTCTTAAGTTGGATGGCCTTACAGTCTTTCACATGGATATCTACAATATACATTTATTAGCTTTGTTTTTAATCCATCAGTTTATTTATTTATTTTAGTTTTTCGAGGAGAGAAGGTTTCTCTGTGTAGCCCTGGAACTAGCTCTGTAGATTAGACTGGCCTCAAACTCACAAAGATCCACCTGCCACTGCCCCGAGAGTACTGGAATTAAAGGCGTGTGCAACCACTCCTGGTAATTGATTTTGGTAGACAGGTTCTCACTATGTAGCCTTAACTCACCATATAGACCAGGTTGGTCTTGAACTCACAGAGAACCTTTTGCCTCTGCCTCCTGAGTGCTGGTATTAAAGTGTGCACCATCATGTCCAACTCTAGCTTTAAAGTATACTTATACTGATGGAGCATCATGCGCAGACTTTTGGGAGCAGATCCACTAGCATGTGGCCACTGTGCCAGGTTCAGTTTCTGATCCTTTGGGCCTGTCCACTTATGATGTTCCCAATTTCTGCCCCTTCCTTTCGAGGAGCAGTCACTTCCACAGGCCACTGTAGTGGGCACTCGTGCATTTGGTTACTGCCCCTCCATGTCTGTCTTGTTCTTCCGCCCCCTCCATTTTATCCCCTGGCTCCCTCTGGTCCTGGCCTGTAGGCCCATGCTCCTGGCTTTCCCAGCCCCCTATTGTTTTTTCTTCCTTGTTCTGTTTGCTTTGTTTTCTCTGCTCCTGATCCATCCTTCTCTCCTAGGTGGCCATCTCAACATGTGTCTTAGGATTAGCCTGGCTATGACATTTTTTTTTTTTTTTTTTTTCGAGACAGGGTTTCTCTGTGTAGCTTTGCGCCTTTCCTGGATCTCGCTCTGTAGCCCAGGCTGGCCTCGAACTCACAGAGATCCACCTGCTTCTGCCTCCCGAGTGCTGGGATTAAAGGCGTGCGCCACCACCGCCCAGCGGCTATATGATATTTTTGACATAGACTGAGGTTGCTTTCTGTTGCAGGTTCTTGAACAGCCCACTCACCATGGACCTGGACCCCCATGCAGGTGTGCAGGTGGGCATGCGTGTGGTACGCGGAGTGGACTGGAAATGGGGCCAGCAGGATGGAGGTGAGGGCGGTGTGGGCACTGTGGTGGAGCTTGGCCGCCATGGCAGCCCCTCGACCCCCGACCGTACAGTCGTTGTTCAGTGGGACCAGGGCACATGTACCAACTATCGAGCTGGCTACCAAGGTGCCCATGACCTGCTGCTCTACGACAACGCCCAAATCGGTGTGTGGTGATGCCCAGCTGTGGGTGGGGCTGGCCAGGTGACAGGAGACCTGCAGGTTCTCATTTACCCCCCCCCTATACCTAGGTATCCGTCATCCCAACATCATCTGTGACTGCTGCAAGAAACATGGACTTCGTGGCATGCGTTGGAAGTGCCGTGTCTGCTTTGATTATGACCTCTGCACACAGTGCTACATGCACAACAAACATGACCTTACCCACGCCTTTGAGCGCTATGAGACATCACACTCACGCCCGTGAGTTCCCTAGACCACAGCCTATCTCCCCAGCACCTTCTGACTGGTGCCTTTGACATCCAGCCAGGCCTTGGCCTCTGGCAGAGTCACTTAAAAAAGTACCTAGCAAGTCCGTCTTGCAAGATTTCCTTGAAGAATACCCAGGGTCAGGCTATTCTAGAGCTCTGAGAATGGCACTCCTCCATTTCTCACTGAAGGCTTTCTCTAGGTACATTGTAAGGAGGGTGCTGTGGGTGGGATTTCCTCTGCTACCTCACCCTTAGGGTCAGGAAGGCATGTCTCCAGTACAGCTGCAGTCTGGAGCACTGAAGGTATTTGCCTAGGTATATGCCACATGGATAGTAGTGGCTGTTGAAACACAGCATCTCCTGGTGGTGCCAGGGCCTGGCAAGGAGGCTTGTCACTGGGCAGCTCACCTTGGGTGCCAGCCCATAAGTACAGCTGGGGGTGGCCCTAGTCTGATGCAGTAAGAATTGATGGGAGACAGGTCTCTGTTGGATTTGGGAAGGCACCCTGGTACTATCCTTTATTCTCTACATCTCCTGAATCTTTCCTCTGTGCGGAGAGAAGTGGTGTTCCCTCTTTTGGCCAGTATGAGATCAGGGCAGCTGCCTGAGCTGGTGGCCAGATAAGTGTTTTCACTGCTCTGGGCCAGGCCCTGCCCCCGCTGCCTTTAAAGCAGCAGACATGGACTGATCACATGGACTGCTCCGAGAGTCATCTCATGTGCCTTTTCGGCCGGATATTGGTGAGGTCTCTGAGCCCAGAGACACTGAATAGTTTGTTCCCTTTCCCAAGGTGTGGAGGCCTACTGGGAAGGCCATTCAAGGACAGTGGTTTGGCTTGGGATCCAGAATACCTATATCCTACAGACCCAGATGCCTTTAGCATAGAGGGGCAGGGTGGCCAAATACAAGATCTGGCCATCGTATCAATGCATGACTCAGGATTCATTCTCTTACAGGGTCACACTGAGTCCCCGACAGGGCCTCCCTCGAATCCCACTGAGGGGCATCTTTCAGGGAGCAAAAGTGGTACGAGGCCCTGACTGGGAATGGGGCTCACAAGATGGTGAGTCGTGCCTGGAAAGACGAAGGTGAAGCTGGCTATAGCTCAGTCTTGAGGCACACTCTTAGCCTGCCGGTGTGCATTCTCTCTTCCCAGGAGGGGAAGGGAAGACAGGCCGTGTGGTGGACATCCGTGGCTGGGATGTGGAGACAGGCCGAAGTGTGGCCAGTGTGACATGGGCAGATGGAACCACCAATGTGTACCGTGTGGGCCATAAGGGCAAAGTGGACCTCAAGTGTGTTGGTGAGGCAGCTGGCGGCTTTTACTACAAGGAGCACCTCCCGAAGCTTGGTATGGGGCTGGCTCTGACACCAGCTGCCCTCCTGCCCTGGCTGTTACCTTATTACCCTGGCATGTCCTGTTGGTGGGGAGGGCAGGTTGCTTCCCGAGGCCTAGCTTGCCACCTTCCCGCAGGCAAGCCAGCAGAGCTGCAGCGCAGGGTGAGTGCTGACGGCCAGCCCTTCCAGTGCGGCGACAAGGTCAAGTGTCTGCTGGACACAGACGTCCTAAGGGACATGCAAGAAGGCCATGGTGGCTGGAACCCTAGGATGGCGGAGGTGAGCCACCTCTTCTGCTGAGTCCCCATGTGCCCCCCTTCCCAAATCCTTTGGACCCCTATCCCTCTTCCTGCCCCGAGAGTCCAGCCTGACCCCGCCATAGCCTCCGTGACCTGCCACAGTTTATCGGACAGATGGGCACCGTGCACCGCATCACAGACCGTGGGGACGTGCGTGTGCAGTTCAACCATGAGACCCGTTGGACCTTCCACCCTGGGGCTCTCACCAAGGTGCCTAGGGGGCTGGGCTGAGCCCCACTTATTGCTTCTCTCATTCCTTCTGTGTGCCAGTTCAGTCTTGGGAATGCTTAGGCAGGACTAGGGTACCAGCCTCCCATGAGTCTGCAGACCTGAAGGGGAGAGCCTGGTGGGTGGAGGTGAAACCAGGAAGGGAATCCAGTTTTGAAGGACACAGAAAAGAGTGAAGTACTGAAAACATCTTAGACTAGAACCTGTGGGCCATGGGGCTCTGTCCTGAGAACAAAAGAAAGGTACTATGGTAGGCTGGAAGTGGGTTGCTCGCTTTACTTCTTCAGATGCTGAGTGCATCATGGGGGCAGATGGGAGTGGTCTGAGGAGACTGAGGTGGAGGTTTGCCAAAGGAGACCAGGTTGGGTAGATTCTGTGAAAGCTTTTGGAAAACTGAACTGTGGGGATGAGACGTGTGCCAGAGAGGTGGGAATGTCTAAGAAGGGGCACTGAGCGGGTTAGGGGATGCATTCCTACCTGGACCTGGAGGGGAACTTCAGGACAGGCAACATTCAGGCTTTTACTCTGCACACAGGTGCATAGGTTGTGTGCACAGATTCCCTGCAGGATCCCTCCCCCTACCACTCCTCCCCTCCTTCCTGGCCCTGTGCTGACATCCTGGGGTCCCACCCAACTCCAACTCCATCTTCAGCTTTTTTCCTGGGTCTGTTCCACTCGCCTTGTGTCTGACTGATGGATAGGTACCCTGGAGACAGGTCTTCTGGACCTTCACATATCTCCAGAGCTGGCTTTGGTCTGGTCTGGGTGCTGCTACCCCACTGCTCCTCTGGTTGTCCTCCCCTGTGGCTTAGGCTGGCCACCCAGGGCTGATTTGGTCACTTAAGGCCCTTATCCAGCCAGACCATTTGGTTGTACTTGAGGCAGGAACTGGGGACAGGGTTAGATCTGCTTGCCCTCTGGAGCAGGAGGTGTCCTCTTGCATGATCTTGAGTAGACACAAGTAGCTGGAGGAACTCCCCTTACCTGCTTCTCTGTCATCTAGCACAACAGCTTCTGGGTGGGTGATGTGGTCCGGGTCATCGATGATCTTGACACTGTGAAGCGACTGCAGGCTGGACATGGTGAATGGACCGATGACATGGCCCCCGTGAGTCTCAGTGTCTGTTGTCACCTACCACATTCCCTCCCCCCCATGCACGCACACTGTCTGTTCCACTTCCAACTTACTGTGATCCTACCTCTTCGCAGGCCCTGGGCCGCGTGGGGAAAGTGGTGAAGGTGTTTGGAGATGGAAACTTGCGTGTGGCAGTTGGCGGTCAACGGTGGACCTTTAGCCCCTCCTGCTTAGTGGCCTACCGGCCTGAGGAAGACGCCAACTTGGATGTGGCTGAGCGTGCCAGAGAGAACAAAAGTGCGGCACCAGCCTCAGTGGCCGGTGGGAGGCAGGGCATCCCCTGGCCAGCACTTACCTCAACCCTGCCCCCAGGCTTACTGAGTGTGGCCCTGGACAAACTTCGGACCCAGAAGAGTGACCCAGAGCACCCAGGGAGGCTGGTAGTCGAGGCTGCACTGGGAAATGTAGCCCGGGCTGTGGATCTACTGCGAAGGCACCCAGAGCAGGCAAGCTACCACCCTGTCCTTCTAATGGCCAGCAGGGAAAGGGCCCAGAATTCATGTGTTGGCTTTCTGCACAGGTGGACACCAAGAACCAGGGCAGGACTGCCCTACAAGTGGCTGCTTACTTGGGCCAGGTAGAGCTGGTGCAGCTGCTGCTGCAGGCAAGGGCAAGTGTGGACCTGCTGGATGATGAGGGCAACACTGCGCTGCACTATGCAGCCCTGGGGTGAGGCCTGGGCAGGGGCTGGATCCTGCTGGGAATGAACTTTAGAGCCAGGGTGCACAGCAGGCTGTCCCCAACCCCCCCCACTTCTTCCATTAGGAACCAGCCTGAGGCCACAAGGATGCTCCTGAGTGCAGGATGTGGGGTGGATGCTCGAAATGGCACACGAAGCACAGCCCTGCATGTGGCTGTGCAGAGGGGCTTCCTAGAGGTGGTAAAGACCCTGTGTGAGCGTGGTTGTGATGTCAACCTGCCGGTGAGTGATAGTCTCTGGATTCTCTACCACTCACCAGCCCTAGGTCAAGGAAGCAACTTGGCCATGGAAAAAGGCATTGCTGTGACCAGTCCCCTCTGTTTCAGGATGCCCATGCAGACACACCCCTGCATTCTGCCATCTCTGCAGGTGCCGGTGCCAGCAGCATTGTTGAAGTCCTCACTGAGTTGCCTGGCATTGATGTCACTGCTACCAATAGCCAGGGCTTCACACTGCTGCACCATGCATCCCTCAAGGGCCACGTGCTGTGAGTGTGGGGTTGGTCACACTGCTGCCAGACTACCCTGATCCAGAGCACTCAGGTGAAGTGCCTAGGGAAGACCTTGGACAGACCTTCTTGTTCCTACAGAGCAGTCAGAAAGATTCTGGCACGGGCACGACAGCTGGTGGATGCCAAGAAGGAGGATGGCTTTACTGCACTACATCTGGCAGCTCTCAACAACCACCGTGAGGTGGCCCAGGTCCTAATCCGAGAGGTGGGTGCTGGGGCCCCAGGGCCACCCACAGGCCAGGAACCAGACCCAATGGGATCTCAAAGCTGAGCCTGTGCCCACCCTTTCCTCAGGGTCGTTGTGATGTGAATGTGCGCAACAGGAAGCTTCAATCTGCACTGCACCTGGCTGTGCAGCAGGCCCACCTGGGGCTAGTACCACTGCTGGTGGATGCTGGCTGCAGTGTCAACACCGAGGATGAGGAGGGAGACACAGCCCTGCATGTCGCACTGCAACGTCATCAGCTGTTGCCGTTGGTGGCTGACAAGGCTGGGGGGGACCCAGGGCCCTTGCAGCTGCTGTCAAGGGTGAGGAAGTATAGTGGGTACTGGGAAGGAGGCCTGGTGATTTTTCACCTCCCATTATGCTCCAGGGAACCAGGATTTCTGGAGAGTGGGACAGTTTGTGGACCTCAGTTTCAGGGTCTGTAATCCAGACCAGTCTTGGAAAAGGGTTGGGGTCTGGTTGGGACGAGAGGATGAAGGGTTTCAGAGTTTCTATACCTACCTAGCAAAGGGCACCTTTGGGGCCTGCCTTCCCTACTCTTCCTAGAACCAGAAGCCTTAGCCAGAAGGAAAGTGGTACCATTGTCCAGATTTCTGGACAGCCCGGTGCCAGCAGAGGCGTTCTTGAAGTGCGTATGGGTTCCCACCCTCATCTGTATGTCCTGCCACTCAGCTACAGGCCTCAGGCCTCCCGGGCAGCACAGAGTTGACCGTAGGTGCAGCAGTGGCCTGCTTCCTGGCGTTGGAGGGTGCTGACGTGAACTACGCAAACCACCGTGGCAGGAGCCCACTGGACCTGGCCACTGAAGGCCGAGTGCTCAAGGCCTTGCAGGGCTGTGCCCAGCGCTTCCGGTGAGCCCAAAATGGGGGTTTGGAGGGGGGGAACTGTTAAGGCCACCGGGTCCTTTCAAGCCCCCTCCTCCAACTGCAGGGAGCGACAGGCAGGTGGCGGTGGGGGCATGCCCCCGGGCCCCCGGCACGTGCTAAGCACTCCCAACACCGTGAGGAACCTGCATGTGTCTGGCACAGCAGGGCCAGAAGCTGCCGAGTGCTTGGTGTGCTCGGAGCTGGCGCTGCTGGTTTTGTTCTCACCTTGTCAGCACCGCACCGTGTGTGAGGGTGAGTGCAGGGTGTGGAGGCCCGGGGTGGATGAGCCGCCCAGTCCAACCCTGCTAACGGTACACTGCCCCTGGCAGAATGCGCTCGCAGGATGAAGAAATGCATCAGGTGCCAGGTGGTCATCAGCAAGAAGCTACGCCCAGGTGGGTGGGAGGGTCTTAGCATATCCCCCATTATCCTGTGGCATAGTCACCTGTCCGAACCTAATCGTCACACCTGCTGTAGCCGACTCTCACTCACCTTGTCCCACAGACGGTTCAGAGGTGGTAAACACCATCCAGATGCCTGGTCCACCTCGCCAGCTGGTGGAGGAGCTACAGAGCCGCTACCGGCAGATGGAGGAGCGAATCACCTGCCCCATCTGCATCGACAGCCACATCCGCCTAGTTTTCCAGTGCGGCCATGGGGCATGCGCGCCCTGTGGCGCTGCGCTCAACGCCTGCCCCATCTGCCGCCAGCCCATCCGCGACCGTATTCAGATCTTCGTGTGAGCGCGTTCCGCACACCATGGCCGATCCCAGACCCTTCTACAAAAGCCCTGTGTTTTATAAAAAATATTCTCGGACTTTACTGCCTGCTCCTTGCCTAGGGGTACTGGGCATGCCCAGCGATCCTCACCATTCCCAGCAACCCCCACTCCCAAACACATAAACTGCCTGAGACTCCAGGTTGCCTATAGGTCAGGAACACTCTGGTTGTGGTTGGCCACATCAAGTGTCCTGGCTGTGGTTTGACACAAGAGGGTCCCAAAACCCACAGTGCACTAAAAGGCTTAGGGTGGTTCTATTTTCGGCCCTATAGGGGGCTCACCCCACTTCCTTCAGTCCCTGTGCCCGCCCTTCCCTCCGCCCCCTTGGGGCGGGACTTAAGACTATTTAGGGTTTGGCCAAAGCAGACTCCCCTTTGAGAGGGCCCGGGTGTAGGAAGCAGAGGGTGGGAGTCCGCCAAGTTCTTGGCAGTTAAGCAGGGGCAGAGGGAAGAAGCGAGAAAGGGTCCACTTATTGGAACAAATGCTTTGGAAAGGAGAGCAGATGGCTGACGCTTTTCAAGAACTTCCATCGCAGCTATTCGGGGCAGCAGGGAACACCAGCTGCTTGGCTTGGTGCTACCTCTGCTGGCCAGTACAGTGTTGCTGTCACCCAGGGTCCAAAGCCAGCATGGAAGACTGGGAGGGGCAAGACGTGTGGCTAGGAGCCCCTCCTTCCTCAGCCTGGCTCTTATTCCCTGCCCTCCCTGTCTCACCCTCCCCCAGTCTGCTCCGCCCTGGGGATCTCAGCTGGGTCTGGCATCACTTGGATTGCCATGCCACACTCATTCGGCGGCCACCCAGTATAGCCACGGGCTGCCTGGTCTTCCCTTCAGGCCTCGGACCATATCTCCTAACGCTCTACCTTCCAAGCCAGAACCCTGCCGGACTGCCACACTCAATGCCTGATTCTTTCTGTTCCTGTAACCCCCTCCCTCTGAGCATGAGCAGGAATTCCTGGTCCTGCCACTCTGCAACGACCTCCTGCTCTGGTCCAACAAGAGCACTCTCTGGCCGAAGCAGACCCTTTCCCAGATGTCCTAAGAACCCCCACAGGCTTCCTACGCCCTGTCTTTCCTGAGGCCCCTTCTGTACTGCAGTCTCTCCCCCCTGCCAGCTCAACCACCCTCTTCTCAGTGCCCTCGCCTCTGCGCTCCCCTCTGTATGCTGGTTACTCTCAGTCACTGCGGACCAAAATTGAGGTTTCCCTCCCGGATTTCATTGTGGGGTCTAGGGGGTTGAGGGGAAAAGCCAAAAGGTCATTCAGCCCCCAACCAGGTGGGCATGGGGAGCAGTTGATACCCCTTCCCCAAACCTCAGACCTGGCCCCTCACTTGTTACTAGCCCCTTCTCTCGTTCCGATAGACCCCTATCCTTCAAGGCGTTCTGGCCACTGCCACCGACCCTACGACCTGGTTCCTGGAACCCCCTGGGGGATGCGGATCGCCCCACAGGCCAGCTGGTTCACTTCACAAGCCAGCTCCTGGTCCTCGCCCCGCCATAGGGTTGTAACTCGAGCCGCCCGCCGCCAACCCCCCTCCCACTCCGCCCCAACTCTGCGGCCCAGGTCCCTGCGTCGCACTGCCCCTTGGGGCCCTGAACCCGACAGCAAGTCTGCCATGGGCTGCCGTGTCTGTGTCGATCTGGAGGCATCGGGTGTTGTACAACAGAGCCGCTGGTTCGGGGCTGTCCTGAGTGGGTTGTGCCTTCTCTCCGTGCTGGTGTTGCTGGAGTGGCCATGGGCGCCGGCAGAAACCGCCTGGAGTGCGGCGGTGAGAGGACAGGCGGGCCGGGTGCGGGGAGGGTCTATCAGGGGGCCCATGTGTGAGGGTGTGTGTGGAACTGCATGTGAGTCCTTAGTCCCAGACATCCTGAGTCAGTGTGTCCGGTGGTCGCTGGTGATGGGAGGCAGCGTCCTGCTCCAGCTGGGCCCACTCTCATTGACTTTTTATTTTTGATTTTTCGAGACAGGGTTTCTCTGTGTAGTACTGGCTGCCCTAGAACTCGCCGTGTAGACCAGGCTGGCCTCTATAGACAACCCCCAGAGATTAAAGGCATGCGCCATCCAGCCTGCCTCACTCCTACCCACTCTTAACTCCCTTCATCGGGGTGGGGGTAAAAGCAACTTATTAAGCATAGAAAAGCGAAAAACCCAGAGGGAGGGTTCATCCATAACTTCCTCCACTCCATTGCCTAAGTCAGCTTTCAGCAACAATTGGGATCTACAGACTGTTTCTCCTGCCTCCTCACATCCACTCTTTTCCTGTGAAGAAAAAGATGGATGCGCCAAACCCTTCAGTGGTCTCCACTGCTCAGGTCCCCAGTCCATTGACCACACTAGTACCCAGAAGACGCCGCTACACATTGACACCAGCCAGGCTGCGTTGGAACCACTTCAACCTCACATACAGGTACCACGTGGACCCGGGGAGGAGGGCAGGTGTGTCAGGTCCTAACTCAGACACTAACTCTCCCAATACCCCACCCCCAGGATTCTCTCCTTTCCACGGAACCTTTTAAACCCAGAGGAGACAAGGCAGGGCCTGGCTGCCGCCTTTCGCATGTGGAGTGATGTTTCCCCATTCCGCTTCCGTGAAGTGGCTCCTGAGCTCCCCAGTGACCTCCAGATAGGTGGGTGTCTGAAGTGCTCCCTACCCTCCCAGCCCCCAAGTGTGATTGCAGCCTTGTGTTTCCCTAGGTTTCTACCCAGTCAACCACACTGACTGCTTGGTCTCTGCTCTGCACCACTGCTTTGACGGTCCCACTGGTGAACTGGCCCACGCTTTCTTCCCACCCCATGGTGGCATTCACTTTGATGACAGCGAGTACTGGGTCTTGGGCCCCACACGCTATAGCTGGAAGAAAGGTGATCCAACTCCTTGGTCTGACCTCCTCCTGGGGGCCTCATTCTCTCCACTATGTGGGCTACAGAGGTCTTTGGGGCAGAAGGATTTCCTGGGGCTGAATGTTTGAGAGGAATTCTGGTTCTCACAGGCCAGAGTCTCTCGCCTTCCCCCTCCCCCACATACCGCTGGAGAGGGAGCTGGAGTTGCATTCCTGAGGGCCAAGCTCACAGCCTAGGCTGGGAACAAACTTATCTTCCTTGGCTGTGGTCTAAGGGTGGCTTGCAGCTGGGCTCTACCATCAGTGCTGGGCCTCCTGGAGCAAGACTGGGAGTGGAAGGGCTGAGGGATCCCGAGCACTAAGCCCCGGGGCCCACAGGCGTATGGCTCACAGACCTGGTGCACGTGGCAGCCCATGAGATCGGCCATGCGCTGGGACTGATGCACTCACAGCAACACCAGGCGCTCATGCACATCAATGCCACATTGCGAGGCTGGAAGACACTGTCTCAGGATGAGCTGTGGGGATTACACCGGCTCTATGGTGGGTACAATGGGGCAGGTGGGTGGGCAGATGGATGGTAGGGCTCTAGGCAAACCCTGAGACACGTTGCCCTCCTATTAGGCTGCCTGGACCGGCTTTTTGGGTGTACAGCCTGGGCAAGAAAGGGATTTTGTGATACCCACCAGAGGCTCATGAAGAGGCTCTGCCCCAGAAGCTGTGACTTCTGCTATGGTGATGGAGGCTCAGATGGGGTTGGGTGGGAGCCTCTTAGACTCAGGTCTTTCTCCATCTTGGGCCTGGTTTGATGGGGGGAAGCACTGACATGGCATTTCGCCATTCTCTGAGTAGAATTCCCATTCCCCACTGTGGCTACCACCACACCACCCACCAGAATGAAAACAAGGCTGGTGAGAGAGGGTAGGAACATGACCTTCCACTGTGGGCAGAGGATCCTACACAAGAAAGGCAAAGTATAGTGAGTAACCAGCACCGGGCAGGCATGTCTAGAGGGGCTTGGGGCTGCCTGGGGTACCTTGGTGGGTATATCCTGGGCCCTTGGCATGGTAGGAATGCAGGAACCTCCCCCTGCAGCTGGTACAAGGACCAGGAGCCCCTGGAGTTCTCCTACCCTGGCTATCTGGCCCTGGGTGAGGCACAGCTGAGCATCATTGCCAACGCAGTCAACGAAGGCACCTATACGTGTGTGGTGCGCCGGCACCAGCGTGTTCTTACTACCTACTCCTGGCGGGTCCGAGTGAGGAGCTGAGCCTGCTAACAGCCTCTGTGCTGGAGACCAGCACATAAAGCACTTTCTCTCTGATGTCTCTGTGCTGTTTCATGGGAAGAGGGAAGGTCAGTCTCTGCCCACCTGGATGTGGGGATCCTGGGGTCAGTACTCCCCTACTTCTGCAAAGCCCTTTTTGGTGAGGACATAGCCCAAAGGGCAAGAAGGGTTTTGCCAAGATGGCCTCTAGAACAGTGGGGTAAAATGAAGCACAGGGATCAGCAGCATCACCTAGGGTGTGCTGAGAGAAGGATGTGCATGGGCCCTAGGAAAGGCTTCAGTGTGAATAGGGAAGAGGCCGAGGACCCAAGCAGTCATAGGCGCAGCTCCCCATCCCTGAGACACCCACCAGGCCCAGTGGAGAACCAGCATGCTAGGAAGAAAAAAAAAGACATACGGGAGAGCTTCCTCCAAGAATAGTTTACTACTTCTTAAAACATTAACAACCTCGTATAAAAACCCACTGTGGCTGGAGTTGTCACATGCCTGGATCTGGGAGCCAAGGTCTGTATAGATGGGGCTGGTCTAGACACCCCAGTGCCAATCAGGCTGCCTCATGCACCACACAAGCCACCACCCTCCAAGACTGACAAGCAGACCAGGTCCTACTGTGTGGAGGGGTTGGCCATCTACTCTGGCACCTATAGATGCCCCACCCTTCCTCACTAGGAAAGATAGATACCTCTGAAAACTGCCTTTCCTTTCCAGAAGGAAAAATGTGATTTAATTCTACAAATTTACAACCTGCCCCAAAACAAATAACAACATGGAGAGAACAAACAACAACAACAACAGAAAAAACAAGGTTGTCCTGACTCAGCAGGTCTGCCTGTCCCACCTAGCTGGCCAGGGTCAGTCGATGTGATCTCAGAACTTGAGGCTGAAGCCAGGGCCAGCGGCTGAGGCT